ATTAATTTCTTAACATAAACAAGGGCTCTTGTAACATCTTATGGAACAACTTGTTCTATTTCTGTGGACCATCAGAAATATGACATGAAAATGTCGTATCTTATCTACACACACACACACAGTTGAAGGGCAATGATTGTAAATACATGAGATATTATGGCTGGTGGGGGTCTTCCGGGCTGTGTGGCCGTGTTCTGGATCTGATCTCTATAAATACCCACAAAAGGGTCACATCATCCTGGGCACAGAGAGAACTGCTCCTGTTTGTGCTCCTGTCCTCTAAAGATGCAAGTCACAGATGCTGGCGAACCGTTAGGAAACAAAACTTCCAGAACACGGCCACACAGCCCGGAAGACCCACACCAGCCATCGTATTCCGACCATGAAAACCTTCGACAATACATGAGATATTGTTCTTCTGTTCAATGACAGAGAGCTTGGAATAGTAAGACTATAGTAAAAGCTATAATAACCTTTGGAAATAATTCAAAAAAGGTATTGGGTGCAGGAGCATAAATATAGCATTTGTCTGAAACTCTTTAAAGCAAACATGCCTTTTCCCAGGATCACATGGCTGCCCTCACCTCCTGGAAGGTGATTCCCCCCCCAAAAGACACAGCTGCTTTAAGGCATTCTAGACAGATGTTATAGTCATGCTCTTGTGTGTTCCAAAGCATCTTTTAGGAATCAAATTTCAAGCTCTGTACAGCCCTACTGAGTAGTACATTGTTGCAGATAAACAGCTGTACATAGCAAACATACATGATAAACTATATAACAGACACAAACTAGATTGTGTCCACAACTGTGTCCACACATCAGAACTGTCATTCCCAACTTCTGTTGGCTTGTCCACCAAATGTTTTGTCATTTGTCAGTAACATCCCACTACATTCTGCACTGACAAAAGCGTTTACAGAAGAAAATAAAATAATAATAATAATAATAATAATAATCAGAAATCCATCATAATTAGAAGTGGCAATATTCAAAAACAACTGGGCAAAGACTTCAAACTATACCAGCTCCCTTATCTTTTTCTTGGATGGAAGGAAAAAACGGGAGATGGACTGCAGTGCAAAATGGAAAGCCTGCATTATAATCTGGAAACTATTTTATAAATAATAGTTCTACTTCTAATAAAATAAGTATGACTGTCCAATCCCCTTGCTTACAATCTCCTTCTGATCTCACTGCTTACTCCCACATGGGTGCACATGCATTCCTCTCAAACACACTGCGTCTAAAGAAATGGACTGTAGTCTACAAAAGGCTTAAATCAGTGTCTTTCAAACTGGGCAACTTTAAGATGTGTGGACTTCGACTCCCAGAATTCCCCAGCCAGCATGCTGGCTGGGGAATTCTGAGAATTGAAGTCACAGATCTTGAAGTTGCCCAATTTGAAAGACATTGGCTTAAATCATAACAAATACTTAGCCTTTAAGTTCACGGAGGCTTATAATATCATTCTTCTCGGAATATCTTTCAGCCAAAGGCTAAGCTTGGGGATATGTCAGCTCCTTATTTACACCCACGAAGATTCAAACGATCAAGATCCAAGGGCCAGTTCTAGATTCCCACTCTTCAGCTCGATAAATTTCCAAGTACCCGAAGAGCTATTAATCTGAGTCTGAAATAACATCTTCCCTTACAGGATTAACATCAGGCAGAAGCTCTGACCTAGCTGGAACAATGATAGGCATTTTGCCACCCTTGAACTACAACTCCCAGAAAGCCGCGCGGTGGGGCTTATGGGAGTTACAATTCTTAACGTCTTGGGAACACAAGGCAGCCATCAACGGGCTAGGACCGTTGTCCCAATCCACCCCTTACATAATGAAGATGTAAAAGGGGCAAATAAATTTGTCTTCTGTGAAAAGTTTGGGAGAGACGCTGGAAGGGGGAGAGAAAAAAAAAGACGACATAATTACCTGAAAGCCCCCTTTTCTAGCGGCGTCTTCCTAACCCCGTCGCTTGTAGGGTAACTACTGCCAGCCGGAAGCGTCAACCCCGGAAATAGTGGCGCTCTGAGCAATGTCGACAACTCTATGCTCAACTTCCGCTGTAATTGAGGTCCGGTCTAGCCTCCAGGGGGAAACGTAGCGGAAGGTGGGGGGTGCCATTAAAGGAAAGACTCTGTTCCGTGTACCGACCATGAGACTTTTAAATGTCACCGGAAAGGGAAATCGCGTGTCTTTGTAACATCTCGTTATCCCTATAAAATTGACAGCGGAGAACCGTGGAAGACCTCCAGGCAAAAATTCGGCCTCTCCCAAGCTAGCCGGGTCCTAGGATTGCGCCCCCAGGGCATACTGGGTATTGTAGTGTGATGTGTGATCACGTGCCCCGCTCGGACCGCTACTATTGGCTGGCGTCAGAACTTGAACACAGCACGTGTTGTGACTTTGATTCCCTTGAGTTAAGATCGTCTCTGCCCAACCCTGAGGTTGGAAGGAAGTCATATGAAATTCGCAACCTTTTGCTAGTCCACATCCTTCCTCCGTTGTCCATATTTCACGACTCCAACAGTGATGTTGTGCTGATTATGTGCAAGCAAAGCAAATACTGTAGTTAATTCCTCTGGCGTTGCTGCCTTCCTCTTCCTCATCTCACCAGCGGGGGAGGAAGGTATCTATCAGAGTTGTACCAAGAAATGGGGCACGTCTGAGCGCAGGAATCACTAGCCACTGTTCCCTGCCTCTTCTTTTCCACCCTTCCTATTACAACTCAAAGTTTAAAAACTTTGACTTGGAATCATGAAGGGAAGTGAGTCAGAAGCAGCACTTGAAGGTTTATTTCCCCCCTTTTCCCCCTTGTTTTAATTTAGACAACTTCCAGATGCCTCCTTCGACTATTTGGTCCCATTCATCATTTTACCATTGTGCTACTAAAGCTTGCAATGAACTGGTAATGGCCACAAAGTTAAAGCACTTACAATATTATTGTTTGGGCTGATGTTGCAATTCTGATAGACCACCAGCAGACCTCTCTGATCACAGCCAAGGCTGATCAGGAACCAGAGTATGTGCTTGCATCAGTCTGAAATCACCAACTGCTCCTCTGATCCCACCCACTACCAGTCACTTGACTTTGCTTCCAACATAAGGGAGAGCCAATGTTATATTTTACACATCTTGAGGTTGTTGAATGCTGCCAGCTTAAGTGTGTGTGTGTGTATGAAGCAACTTAACTTCAGTATAGAGTCGTGTAAAAAACTACACCCCATTGAAATTTTTGACTTTTTCCACACTTTTCAACAGATATTTGATCTTCATTTCAACAGTTTTGATAAAGGGGATATAACAAATATCATGCACTATTTACATTTTGTAGTCCATTGTGTAACTGAAATAAACATCAATGCAAATTTCGCATGTGAATAAGTACACCCTTGGCTCTAATACCTGGTATTGCCCCCTTGGCAGAAACCACCTCAAGTAGGTGTTTCTTATACCGATCTCTAACATTGACTGGGAGGAATTTTTTCCCACTCTTCCATGCAGAATTTTTTCAGCTGTGCAATTGAGCGGTTTCTTGCATACACAGCCCATTCCAAATTACCCCATAGCATCTTGATGGGATTTAGATCCAGGCATTGACTTGGCCATTCCAGAACCCTCCCTTACCCTCCCTTTCCTTTCCTTTCCTTTCCTTTGTGGATTTACTGGAATGTTTAGGGTCATTGTCATATACAAGGTCCACTTTTCACTGAGCTTCAATCTTCTGAAATATGGTCTCACATTATCCTCAAGGACCCCCTGGTACAATGAAGAATTCAAAGTTGATGAGCTGCCCAGCCTCTGATGCAGTAAGCAGCCCCAGACCATAACATTTCCACCACCATGTGTTACAATTGGTATCAGTTTTTTCTGATGAAATGCTCTCTTTGTATTTCACCAAAGATGTCTTCTGGTACTGTGGCCAAATAACTATCGTTGTCCGATCAGTCCAGAACACATCATTCCTGAAGTCCTGGTCTTTGCCTAGGTGTTCATGAGCAAACATTAGTCTTGCCCTGATGTTCTTTCTGAACAGCAAAGGCTCCTGGCACACCTCCCATGTGGATTGAATTTGTACAGCTTCTTTCTGATGGTAGACTCAGGCACTTTGACATCAATAGTAGTGAGAGCTACCTCTAGGTTATGTGATGAAATTCTGGTGTTCTTAGAGACTTCTTTCAGCATCTTGCATTCTGCTCCCGGGCTGAACTTGTTGGGACAGCCTGGCCTGGGCAAGTTGGCACTTGTTTGAAATCTTTGCCACTTGTAGATGATCTTCCAGAGAGTGGAATGATTGATATCCAATTGTTTGGCCAATCTTTTTAAATCCCTTCCCAGGCTCAGAAACATCTATACTCTTCTTTCTGAAGGCCCCAGAGAGCTCTTTTAATCTAGGCATGGTGATACAACATACTTCAACAACAAAGAGCAAATCAAACTAAATGTCTGAGATTTCAATAAAACAGGTTCCTCCCTAACAATGTTCTAATCATTTGCACCCTATCTGGTGTGCCTGATTCTAATATTAGGTATTTGAGGTAGTGATAAATGTAGGTCATCAATGTAGGTCATGTATGTTTATTTCAATTACACAGTGGACTACAAAGTGTAAACAGTGCATATTTGTTATATCGTATCCCCTTTATCAGTATTGTTGAAATGAATATCAAATATCTGTATGATGAAATATGCTGTAAAAGTTAAATATTTCAATAGGGTATACTTACTTTTTCACATGACTGCAACTAAAGATGACTGAAAGCTGTCTCATGGGTAGGGGACAAGATGAAGACAACATCAGGGGGACAGAGCATAAAAATATTGCCAGGGCACATTTGTCCTATGATTAGATGTAAATAGAGAAAGGCCCTTAGAATTTCCAGTAACTTAGTGGCCGAGTTCCCCTATCACAGAGAGCCATAACATGGTTGGCTTACTTTAGGCTTAGCATGTTGTGTAAAGAACCAATTAGTATGGAAGTCAGTTGGACTCGACTTCATCAAGACTTGACAATACTCCAATTGTCTTCTTGGAGTGAGTGGGATCTAATTTTGCTAAATGTAAGAGGAGCGCAGTGGATCCCCTCCTTTTACATTCTGGTCTGAAAGAAGGTAGCAGACTTTGGTGGCACTTAGTCACATGATTATAAAAAAGCTTACAAAGTTCTTGCCCAAACCAGCAAGTCAGTTTGGAGAAGATGAAAATATGCACCTATCCCTGTTCTTCCTTGAGGCTGACAATTCCAAAATTGTAAAATGCTGAAAACATTATTAGAAAGTGTTGCTTATTTATCTAGAAATGGGTTTTTCTTCTATGAACACCAAGTGCTCTCTTTTGAAGGGGGTAAGACACTGCTTTTTTCCAGGGCAGGATTGAATACAAATAGATTTGTCTCTTTTACATGTATATTCTGCACCATTAATACAAAGAAGGCAGCTAATAAAACACTATAATCAGTAACTTCACTAAGACAGAACACAGCAGCAAGTTTTTGATACTTTTGCCATTTATATGCAATTCGTCAAAAATGAACTGAAGTTCACTGTGGTTTATACCTAGGTGAGCTCTAAGTCCCTGCACTGCTAATTTAAGAATAGTAAAAATAATGTCTCCTTAAAGCAAGCTTGATTCCTGGTGATTTCATGGACAGATTTGGGTAATTTTCTTGACAGCAGCAAGGAGATGGTTTGTCACTGCTTTCCTCTAGTATGCATTTTTGACTACCAGTCAAAACCATAGCTGTAGGATTTGGGGGTGATCTCCCATCCAAGTATTAACTGAATCCATTCCCCATATACGAAGGAGTTGAGTTCATACTTGTTAAGTCATGGTTTGTTTTAATAATTTTGCTGACTTAACCACAATAGGCTGGATTCATATATCCTGCAAAGCCACATAAAACCACATTATGATCAGCCAGTGGCTCATTAGGAAAATTCAAGTACTTAAATGTGTAGCATAAGCTGGCTTCCACCTATGGATTATACTAATTTGTGGTTGGCAGCAAGTACAAGGGAAGATCTAAAAGTCTTCCATTTCCAAAGACTTAATGCACTATTTAGTCCTTCATAGCAATGTCCATGGCCAATCACAGCCTTTGCCTGCATAAACTGCAGTCCTCTGCAAAGAATTTCACATCAAAAGGAAGACCTCAGGTTCTCTGTCCACAGCAGAGAACAGCGGCAAATCAGAAAAAATTATATTCGGCTTGGTCAGGAATAGGTAACCACATCCGTTCCTTCCAGATATTTCACACTACACAAACTACTGGGGCTGATGGGAGTAACAGCAGGATACCAGGCTCCCTAGCTCTGGACTAGAAGGACTGACATGATATGATACATCCACCGCAGGTTACACCTGAGAGTTTTCTGCATTATGGAGCTGTTTTATGTGTGCCTGTTTATAACTTAATCACCAGATCCCCTAAGCCTCAATGATTGACTCGCAATGTTAATTATACCATTAAGGATTCCCTGACAAATTTCTAGGAAGCCTGGGATTCCTCAGAAACACATCTTGAAAGCATTGTTATTCTTTGCTGTCCAGGGACAGAGACCTATGGCTCTTCAGTTGTTGCTGAACTACAACTCCCAACATCTGGAGGATCAGAGGTTCCTACTAATCTAGTGCCGAATGTATTTCTCCCACTACTCTAAACCTCCATCAATGTTGAGAAAGTCCCCAACAATTCATAAGAATTGACAGAGGAATTAAGGAAGCTAAGAAATTGTACCATGAAATTTTAAGTAGATTTACTTGCATACAGTTTAATGT